AAGCCCGTTGTGATCAAGAAGCCGCGACTCGTGAACGTTAAAGTTGAAAAGAATCCCTAATGATCTCTACTTTATCATTTTATTCAGAAGACAAACATTAATCTCTCTTTATTTTATTTCTATTTTCTAAGTTGTTTTGCTCCAATGCATGGAATAACGTGGCTTCGACCAAACTATTTATGTTCTTTAAATTAATGAAATAATAAGGTCTTCTGAAATTTATTGTTGATTTATTATTTTCTATATTCTTATATGGAATTACAATAATATATCTTCTATATTGATATATACAACTACATTAACATAAGTAGGAATGGCTTCCTTAGCCCAATGGTATCGATTAAGGCAAAGAACCTTAATATCTATATATAATTCACATCTTTTGATATGTAAGGTATTTTCATAAGAGTAGTTTACTAAATATACACAAACTTACGGGAGATTACATTTATTGTGGACTATACTACAAAAAAAAGTAATTACATTTTTTATTATTTAGCAACTATACAATGCAAATTTTACCTTCTATTATAATATGTCCTGCGATGTTAGGCATTAATAATGGAGTCAATTTATAACTTAACCATGGTTTGTATGTGTTTAATTTATAACATAGTGAGTTTAAATAGATTACTAACCAAACCGAACATGGTATTATTATGTAAGGTTTATTTAAACCTCATAATAAGCGCTTAAAAGAAATCTAGGTATATGAAAGAAATCTAGGTAAAAAAAACACATCAACGATGAGAAAAAGTACAATCTCTGGCTCTAATGATGGCTTGCAAAAATATGGCTCAAAGAGGGCTCATAATTCTATCATCGCCATTCCAACATCCTGGAAATCCATCAGACGCAAAAACATTCAAACCGGTTCTGTCCCTCTGAATTCAATATTTAATAGGATTCACAAAGAGATTACCAAAGTACCTGCTTCTCAAAATGTCATCACAGAGAAGAATGATGAAATCCAACCTCCTATGAAACCTACTTCTGCAAAAAATAAAGGTTATTCTGCTTCCAACTCTAAGTTTGTATCGTTCAATACATTAGATCTTAAACTACCAAGATTTTTTTTGTAGATTCAGAAAAAGTACTGAGAAGTACTGGACATGTTTTGATGGATATCACAAACACGTTCTTTACAACACCAAGAAGCCAACTAGATAAACAATGCTCTACAAGTCCACAATCAAAAAGAGGTACATATATAAAAAAATCTTACCCACGTAATGGTTTGAGAACAAATACATATGTATCTTCCACCAGTATCTCAATACTTTGTTTTTCTCGAGTATCGGATTACTATATGCTTATCAATCATCTTACCTATGCAGATCATGTTCCATCTGGTAACTCATCATTAGTAACCCCGAAGCTTCCTGCCAAACGTCCATTGAAGCGTAAGTTTTTTTTAGTCTCATTGTGTTATGCATAGTATTTTAATAAACAAAGATCCATTACACTAGAAAACTATTGGGAAAATTTTACTTATATACTCAGACATATATGTGCAGGAATGAGACAAAATTCTCCACCTCCAATCATTGATCATGATTCCCCATTTATAATTCGCAACATAAGCAAGATAAGAACCACAAAGCCTAGACAACAACAAAGCCATCTTTATGAGACGCCCCCTGCAAAATATGATACGAATGGTAAGTATAGCATCATTATAATAATTTAATGACATTGAGGTCAACTAGCATTGTCGTTATGATGATATACGTTCGTTTTCAGCTTATATTGTCAATGTTATTTTACAACAGGTACACAAATCACTGGAAATACATCATGTTTAACACAACTTAAACATGCATCTTATTCCCAAAAAAGAAGTGATCTTCCATCTTTGAATTTAGATTCACACTTTAGAGACGAGACCATAGACAAAGATGATGAAGGTACCCCATCTTGCTACAACATGAATGGAAGTCTATGATATATCTATTACTAATATTTTTCAACATACAGATGGACGTGTGGAGGCAAATAAAAACAGTACCAACTCAAGTAGTGACGAAATGGAGTATCATCTTTCTGAGATAGATAATGATGATTGTGAGTTCAACCAAACATATGACGATAGCACCAACGACGAGTGTGGAGGAACAGATTCAGACATTGAAAACACTAATGTTGCTAACAGAAGAATAGGTGAAAATGAAGTTCATATAGAAACTGAGGTTGGAGAAAGTGATAATCAACATCAAACAGTCAACCCTGTTCGAAAAAGGAGAAATACCCAACCAAAACAACCAGCCAAAAAAAGGATAAGAAACCGTAGGAAAGCCAAGCAACAAACAAAAGCAGGTGACATATCAATTATTTGAATCTAATATTTATGCATAATATATTATGTTGTGGTACACATTTTGACTTTCTTTAAACTTGATAACAGTTTATCTAGATCATGGTGATCCAACATATTCATGTAAATTTTGTGGTGCGTTGATGTGGTATGATGAGCGGATAAACAAGAGAAGGAATCTGAAGAATCCATGTTTTTCCCTCTGCTGTGGACAAGGAACTGTCAAAATCCCGTTACTTAAAGAATCACCTGAACTGATTAAGAAGTTGCTTTCGGGTAATGATGCTCTGAGTAGAAATTACCGTCAGAACCAAAGGATTTACAACATGGTATTTGCCATGACGTCACTAGGTGGTAAAGTAGATCGTTCTGTCCCAAAGGGTACTGGTCCTAATATGTTTCGTTTACAAGGGGGAAATTATCATTTGATTGGCAGTTTACAGCCAGATGAAGGTGATTATGCAAAGTACTCACAGCTATATATCGTTGATACTGAAACAGAAGCTGAAAACAGAGCTTCTGTGATTAGGTACTTTTCACTTACTCAATTCAACTTACTTTTAGCTTATGTTTTTTTTGAAATATTGAAATGGAGTACATATTAATATGTTTACTCGACATTTTACCTTGACAGCAAAACAAAAGATTCAAATCAAGGCTCTGGGAAGCAAAAGTTAAAAAAGGAAGTTATAGAAGCGATTATACATATGCTCAACAGTGTTAATCCCTATGTCAAAAACTTCAGATTAGCTAAAGAAAGGTTTCAATCTAATAAAGATGAAACCTTTCATATGAGGATTGTCTCTGATCGGGTAGGAGTTGATGGAAGAACTTACAGCATGCCTACAGCATCAGAAGTTGCTGCATTGATACCTGGTGATTTCAAGAAAGGAATGCCATCCCGAGATATAATCCTTGAAGACAAAAAAACTGGTGCACTCAAGAGAATAAGTGAAATCCATATTTCATATTTAGCTCTACAATACCCACTAATTTTTTGCTATGGTGAAGATGGGTGGAGGCCTGGTATAGAGAAATGTATGGCGGGAACAACCAATAGTGAGAAAAAGAAGTGTATTAGTATGAGACAATGGTTTGCATTCAGATTACAAGAAAGGGAAAATGAGTGTCATACACTACTTCGATCTAAAAGATTGTTCCAGCAGTTTTTGTGTGACGCCTACACAACTATTGAATCTAACAGGTTGTCTTTTATCAGATATAATCAGTCCAAGAAGAGGTGTGAGAATCTTGCTTCCATTAAAGATGCAGCGCTATCTGGAAACAAAGATTTGAGTGAACAAGGGAATCTTATGATCCCAGCATCTTTCACCGGAGGACCACGTTATATGGTACAAAGTTACTATGATGCTATGGCAATATGTAAGCTTTATGGTTTTCCAGATTTGTTCATCACTTTCACGTGTAATCCTAAGTGGCCAGAGATCACCAGATATGTGAAAAAAAGAGGTTTGACAGCAGACGATAGGCCAGACATTGTTGCTAGAATCTTTAAAATCAAGCTAGAGTCGCTTATGAGAGATTTGACCGAGAAAAATCTCCTTGGGAAAACTGTTGCAGGTTCGTTTCTACATCTATATTTTATGCACTCTCATCATATTTATAACCTGGCCGTTTTTCTTTCACAACGATAACAAGATTTTTTTGTGTGTTTCCAGCTATGTATACTGTTGAATTCCAGAAAAGAGGCCTACCACATGCTCATATACTATTGTTCATGGATTCTAAAAGTAAGTTGCCTACTGCTGATGACATAGACAGGATTATATCAGCTGAGATTCCAGATAAGAATGAAAATCCAGAACTATATGAAGTCATCAGCGAGTCAATGATTCATGGACCATGTGGGGCAGCAAATCCAAACTCCCCATGTATGGTGAACAAAAAGTGTTCAAAGCAATATCCTAAAAAGTATCAGGATATAACAAAAGTTGGTAGTGATGGTTATCCAGTTTATAGGAGGAGAAGAACAGAAGACCGTTATGTTGAGAAAAATGGTATCAAATGTGATAATAGGTACGTTGTCCCATATAATGCTCTTCTATCTACTAGATATCGTGCTCATATCAATGTGGAATGGTGTAACCAAAACGGTTCGATCAAATACTTATTTAAGTATATCAACAAAGGACCCGATCGTGTAGCTGTTATTGTCGAACCTTTTAACAAGAGTGCCACTTCTACATCTACATCAGCAACCAATACCGATAACTCAGATACAGGAGAAAAAAAGATAAACGAGATTAAAGACTGGTTTGACTGCAGGTTTGTTTAATGACAAGTAGATTTTTGTGTTGATATCCTTTACGTCTAATGTTACAATCTGATTTACTGTCGGGTTTGTGTTGTTTACATTATAGGTACGTCTCAGCCTCAGAAGCTGTTTGGAGAATTTTTAAGTTCCCTATTCAGTATAGATCAACCGCTGTACAGAAGTTATCTTTTCATGATGAAGGGAAACAACCAGCCTACTATGATGAAAATGAGGACATTGAAGAGGTATTGGAAAGAGTTGCTAATCAAGATTCAATGTTCATGGCATGGTTGACTTTGAATCGGATTGATGCAGTTGGAAAAGATGGTAAACGTGCTCGAGATTGTACATATGCTGAGATACCAGCTTATTTTACATGGGATGGTAAAAATAAGCAGTGGAAAAAACGGAAAAGAGGCTTCTCTTTGGGTCGTATTCATTACGTACCAAGAAAACTAGAAGATGTTTATTTCTTGAGAGTGTTGATTAACATAGTCAAGGGACCAACCAGTTATGACGATATCAAAACATACAATGGGGTTGTATATAAATCGTATAAAGAAGCCTGTTTCGCACGTGGTATCATATCCGACGACCAGTTTTGGATTGATAGTATAATCGATGCAAGCCAGTGGTGTTTTGCTGATTATCTACGCAATTTTTTTGCCATGTTGATTCTATCTGACTCACTATATAGACCAGAACATGTTTGGGAAGAATCATGGAAGTTGTTGTCTGAAGATATAGAACATCGGAAGAGAGACGAGTATAACAACCCAGGTACGTTTAATTATGTACTTCTCTTTGCTGTGTAGTTAATAGATTACGATTAAGTATTGGCTAATCCTAATTTTATGTTCTCCTGCAGATCTTACGTTAACTGATCAGCAAATCAGAAACTACGCACTTCAAGAAATTGAGAAGATTATGTTGATTAACGGAGGTTCCCTTAAAAATATCACCGACTTCCCACAACCATCTAGAGAAGATCTTGATAACTCCAACCGTTTAATTGCTGATGAAATGAGGTATAATGATGGTACTTTGAAAGAAAAACACGATCAGTGGGTTGAAATGCTAACTTCTGAGCAAAGAGCCATCTACGATGAGATAACTGGTGCTGTTTTAGAAGACAAAGGGGGAGTGTTCTTTGTTTATGGTTTTGGAGGAACAGGTAAAACGTTTATTTGGAAGACTCTCTCGGCTGCTATTAGATATAGGGGAAAGATAGTGCTCAACGTTGCCTCCAGTGGGATTGCTTCTTTGTTGTTAGAAGGTGGAAGGACTGCACATTCTAGATTTGCTATACCTCTAATAGTGGACGATTATTCTTTATGTAAGATTAAGCCTAACTCTGATCTGGCTAATCTTATAAAAGAGGCATCTCTTATTATTTGGGACGAAGCACCAATGATGAGCAAGTATTGTTTTGAGTCTTTAGATAGAAGTTCTGCTGATATAATGTGCAACGTAAGCAGCAGTGTTTTCGCTGGTAAAGTTGTTGTTTTCGGAGGTGATTTCAGACAAGTTCTTCCAGTTATCCATGGTGCAGGACGAGCTGAGATAGTCTTATCTGCTCTCAATGCTTCTTATCTTTGGGATCATTGTAAGGTTTTGAAGTTGACTAAGAATATGCGTTTGCTGCAAAATGGCTTAAGTCAAACTGAAGCTAATGATATCCAAGATTTTTCAAACTGGTTATTAGATGTTGGTGATGGTAAGATTTCAGAACCTAACGATGGTGAAGCTTTGATAGATATTCCAGAAGAATTCCTGATTACATAAGCAGAGAATCCTATAGAAGCAATTTGTACAGAAATCTACGGTGATCTGGCATTGCTAAAAAGTAATGCTGATGCACAATTCTTCCAGAAAAGAGCTATATTAGCACCCACAAATGAAGATGTCAACATCATCAATCAGTTTATGCTTGATAAATTGGACAGTAAGTCTTTTTCCTTTTTCCTTGCGGCCTTAATACGTTCTACATAATCTATACAACTATGAACATCTCACGTTGTTTCATATTTTAACGTGTAGGTGAAGTGAAGGAGTATCTAAGTGGTGATAGTATCGATCCAAGCGATACAGATTCTTTGAAAAATCCAATTATCACACCGGATTTTTTGAATAGTATCAAGCTCTCAGGTTTGCCTCATCATGCTTTACGATTGAAAATAGGAGCTCCTGTTATGTTGCTTAGGAATATTGATCCTAAAGGTGGATTATGCAATGGGACTAGGCTTCAGATAACGCAAATGGCTAATCGTGTTGTTGAAGCAAAAGTTATCACAGGTGATCGGATTGGAGACATAGTCTTAATTCCACAGGTTGTTGTTACACCATCGGACACCAAATTACCATTCAAGATGAGACGAAGACAATTTCCACTTTCTGTAGCGTTTGCTATGACGATCAACAAAAGCCAAGGACAATCTCTAGAGCATGTGGGTATATATTTGCCTAAACCAGTTTTTTCTCATGGTCAGTTGTATGTTGCTTTATCTAGGGTAACTTCGAAGAAAGGATTAAAAATCTTAATCGTCAACAAAGAAGGGAAGGTTGACAGACAGACAAAGAACGTTGTCTTCAAAGAGGTGTTCCAGAATCTGGGCAACTAGGCTTGCTGTTTTACACGTACGCTTCACTTCAACTTGTGGTGATACGATTTAGACAAACCTGCTAAACTCTTTTAATTCATTTAACGATTGCTTTAGGTAATAAGTTGAATTGCAAAATGTGTAGTCACTGATACGAGTTTACCATTCACCATAAATCATGCACAACCATTTCCAGACTGAAGTAGAGTATGAAGTTTACCTTATTGTCTAATGTCCTGCGTTCTTTATCCGGACATGTCAACGATGCCATATAAAAGACTTCAAAAACTGCATATAACAAATAGAGAACAATGTTTTGAGTAAACGGCACCTTATAGTTTTCACATATGTTGTTAAAAAAAACTAATTGAAGTCTGCAGTTATCTTACTCATTCAATTAGCTAAGCATAGTTCTTATATGCTAATAAGTGACTTGAATCCGCAAGAATTCTGAAACACAAACTCCTTAGTTCGGTTGAATATAAATTCTACCTTCTAATCCAATTTTGTTCGTCCTTAAACCGGTGTTATCCACCATTCCATATAATAGAGTTTAAAAACTGCAGACAACAAATAGAGAACAACATATAGGAGATTAAAGCACTCGGTATTCACATAAGCAACATTCTTCCATTAAATATAAACATGTAATACCTGAATCACTTCCCCAAAAAAAAATTATCCAATTAAAACCTGTAATTAGCAACAAGTTATAAGTCAGATGTATTGGATCAACAGAAACGTAGAAAGATGAAGTTAAAATAATTCACAAAGGCATTAATTAGACCATAAAACTCAAAATAGGATTATATCAATTGAGAATTGGAAGATTCAAGATAGTGAACCAGAGTTCTCGAAATGATCCCAATCGATTTACATAAGAAAACCTTTGCATGCTCTACAGGACCATCATTTGCTGCACCATCATCCTTGAATATTCTGAAACCAATCGATTGCTGCACCATCATCCTTGAATCTTCTAGATGCCAACATCGTTATAAATTTCAAATGATGAAAACTAGAGTTTGGAACATGAGAAAGTAAGTAGATAGATAGATTAAATTTCTGGGTTTTCTCACAAAGAAGGGAAATTCAAGTTCAATTACCTTCATGTTCGATTCAGGTACTTGTATTTTAGATACGATCGGTTTGTCTCGAAGGAAAGTGAAAGAGACACCGTTTGAAAACTTTAACGGAAAGGCCATTTTAATTTTTTATTTTCCTTATCTCAACTTGATGACAGTTTTTGGCCTCTCTTTAAAATATGGTTCTTGGGATAAATAAATATGTGTAAAAGTAACCAAACAATTTCGGACTTAACCAAACAATTTCTGACTAAGCATGCACAATAACTAAAGTGTGAATACTTTGTGAACAAAATATTGTGTAATTATGTAAGTGCTAAATGTCGTTGATTTTTTTTAATATAATATGACTCCCACAAAACCATGGTTAAGTTATTAATAGAGAAGAAACAATTCGACAAACATCACATTCAAATAAACAAAATATTTATTGTTCACTACGATAAGGTACAATTTAACCTTACAAAACACTTCTTTTATAAAAATTAGGAAAAACAAATTAATCCAACTATGGACCCGTGGTGTACCACGGGGTAAAACCTAGTGATTATAGTAATGCTCAAAGATTAATATTGATAAAAGAGGTTTTAAATTAAAATCCCGCACAACGCGCGGGTTCACAATCTAGTAGATACACATGAATAAGTAAATATTCTAAATTTATTAATCCTTAACACACTATGACTTCTAGAATATTTTTTGGGCTTCTGAGTTTACTTCAATAATGGACAGTCCATAATAGTTTTTTTTGAAACAAAATAGAAAATCTTGATCAGATAATAGAGAGCTATCTTTCACATTTGAAGAGACCAGCACCGTAGAAAAAAGTTGTTTTTAAGGGACGATTACTAGCTTTTTACAATTTACAAAGTTAGGCTAGTCCTACATACAAAAAGTGAGTAACAGTTCCCTAGAGAAATTTTCATCATTAGAGTATGTAGTTACGAAAACTAAAGCACATTCATAACATGCAATGTATCGTCGAATGTAAATCAGGTCCCCTTCTTACACGTTTCAACTGTCAACGCTTCTGCTTTTTCCTTGAGCCTCGTCACTGATGGTTCGGTTGCTGCGACAACAACAATAACAACAGTGTTAACAAAAACTGAACTACGTATATCTTCCATCCTTCATTGGTTCTACAAACCACATGCCGCAATCAATAATTAACATTACTTCGTTATTTACCTTTTCCGGTGTTATTTACCTTGGTCGGAACCCTGTCTCGTGGAGTTCTAAGAAGCACCGTGGTGTTGGCCGCTCGTCCACCGATGTTGAATATCGTTATGTCGCCAACACGGCATCTGAAGTCCAGTGGCTCTGCTTTTTTACTCACGAAACTCGGCTTCATTCTCAAAAGACCACCGGTCGTTTAATTATAGTAATACTCTTGGCGTCACATATCTCTGTGCCAATCAAGTGAAAAACACATATCGCTTGATTATCAAATACGAAATCAGATTCAAGAAGGATTGTTACGAGTCTCTCATGGTTCCTCCAAAGAACAGTTGGTTGATGCTCTAACCAAGTTTTTTTCTCGTCCACATTTTGACAGTGCGAGTTCCAAGATTGGTGTCACTTCGGTTCCTCCATCCTGAGGGAGTGTATAAGGGATGTGAATATCTAAATCTTATGTAAAGGATGTGAATAAGCAATATCGAGACGTTTCTGTCTCGAAGATGGAAGGAAATTCTTTCCTTTTTCGGATCCCGAACTCTTTCACCCGACATAGAGTGTTGAACCAGCGTTTGTGGCAGATTGAAGGCCATACGATGTTCTTTGCTAACTGGGAACCTGGAATAGTTCCTGTAAAGCCGGAACTCTCATCCGCCCCCATTTGGTTAGAGCTCCGCAACGTCCCTTTCCAGTTCTTTCATGAAGAAGGCCTTCAGCGCATCCCTAGTCTGGTGGGTCACCCGGAATGCCTGCATCCTTCTACTCAAAATAAGACTAATCTAGAAGTGGCTAAGGTCTTCACCATTATTGATCCTCGGAAGCCTCTGCCTGAGGCAGTAAATGTGCAGTTTGACTCTGGGGAAATTTGTAGGATTCTAGTCTCAAGCCCTTGGATGCCGCCAGTGTGCGCTCATTGCAAGGAGATTGGTCACAGCTTGCGTCATTGTCGTTCTGCCCCTATCACTTGCAAATTCTGCTCCTCGACCGTGCACTCCTCCATTGATTGTCCAAAGCAATCAGGAAAAGCGATAAAAACCAGAAGAAATCAACGAAGAAGGAGATCCAGAACTCCGGGCCCTCCCTCTTCTGCTGGTGTAATGTTGGCTGCAGTGAAGTCGGACATTCCAGAGGCTGCTGCAGGAACTATGACAGCAAGTCAAGTTTGGAAGATCAAGGCTGCTGCGGCTGTAGCAGAGCCTGTCCCTGATGCTTGTACTAGTATAGCTGCCCCAATCCCTATCCTGCCTGATCATAGTGGAAGTGCTAAGGAACAAGGAGAATCAAGCAAACCAGGAACTGCTTGTAAAGACCCGGGAATCTCAGGAGCTGTAGTTACTTCTCGGAATTCTTCTCCAGATGGTGGGATTTCTTACGATTCTTCTGACATTCTATCTACTGATTCTGAAGAGGAGAGGTTCATAAGAGTGCTGTACAAGAGACAGCAGAAAATCCAGCGAGGCAAGGGCCTCAAAAAGTCTTTTTAAGTATGTATACAAACATTTTTTGTTGGAACGTCCGAGGCTTTAATATATCCAGTCACCGAAGAGGTTTTAAGAAGTGGCATAAGGCCAACAAACCTATTTTTGGAGGTCTCATAGAGACGCATGTCCGTAATCCGAAGGCGCAAAAGTTCATAGATAGTCTTTTGCCAGGCTGGTCTCTGGAAGAGAACTATCTTTTCTCTGACCTTGGAAAAATTTGGGTAGTCTGGGATCTTAGAGTTCAAGTTGTTGTTGTGGCTAAATCTCTGCAGATGATCACTTGCGAGGTTCTTCTTCCTGGAGCCTCTGTTTGGGTTGTAATCTCTGTTGTTTATGCAGCCAATGAAGAAGACACTAGAAGAGAGCTTTGGAGTGAAGTTGTGAGCCTTGCTAATTCAACGGTTACTCTCAACAGGCCTTGGATGATGCTCGGGGACTTTAAC